TCTCATGCTTATATATTTTAGTTAAATAAGTAGTGATTTTTGACGATTACTTTGAAGAAACTATAAAGGTATAAGATCATGCACTTTCTTTGTGCTCACGGGATGGGGAAGCTGGCATCTACCCAAGACAGTCTGGCAACAGAACTAACCAATGAAGCATATCTGTATGGTGGAAAACCTCATAAAACAGCATGAGGAAGGAGGAAAGTTGATTGTTATCTTCAGGCAGGAAGTCAAGTAAAGATCAAAATGGACAACGAACCCTGCAGTAGAAGAAGACCCAGGTCTTTTGATCGTTAGGCTGAAAACTTGCCTTGTGAGAAGGATTCAACCCCTGAGCTCCCAACGCTATGGCTCCAGATCAGACATCCCTTATCAGATGAGACTCAAAGCTCGACAACAAAAGCGAAAAAACTTGGTCAGTGAGAAACTATATCCACTCAGAGGAAAAGAAGACTTTATGCAGCCTGTCGGCTGTCCAAGAAACTATCAAATAATTTTCCAGAAGATCTGATCAGACTAGAGTAGGGAAGCTATTCCATCTCTCAAAGCCTCCACTTAGAATCTTCCCGTTTCAGAGTTGGGGAAAGTCAGGTTTGATTAAATTTATATATATATATATATATCTATATATATATATATATATATATATATATATATAGATATATATATATATATATATAGATATATATTAATTGAATATTCTAGGCTGCTGAATTAAGCTGTTCTGACCCTTGAAGCATTACTAATTAAAGAACCATATAAAGTTTTGCAGTAGTTGTGGGCCTTCAATTATTTAAGTCACCTTTAATCCTAAGTTTTTCAATGGTAGTAAAATTGCCTTGATGCCCGGCTCGTAAATCTATAGAAGGTTTTTAAAGGTTGCCTTAAGCCTAAAATTAGTCAAACAACACACTGGGGCTCCATACGAGTCATTAAATAGTACCTGGCTCAGAGTCAAGAGCAAGCTGCAAAATAGAGAGTGAACGACCGCTATTGAGAGTGGTCTGTGAATCCTAGTTAACTGTTGACTCGGTCTCATTAATTTATGAAAGGAAGAGGAGTTGGATGGAGAGCTGGTTGAGTGTTTACCCCTCAGAGTGAGAAGTTAGTTGGGAAGAAGCTCAGCGCATCAGACGACGAACGAGTGATTTACTGAATACTACGGGTTTTTACTCATGCTTTTTGTGTCTTTGTCCACAGAGCTTTCGTCTCAAATGCCGATGGATAGCAGCATGAAGAAACAGGAACACCTATGGCGGAATCACTCCCCGAACTTTTTGGCTGAGAAGTCCTTCAATGCTGCCGTGGCCGGACTTGAACCATACTGTGCTGTCTGTTCACTTTTCTGTTCCTACATGAAGGTAGAAACACGCACTGCTGCGTACACACTTTTTTTGGAGGATGCACATGATTACTCAGAAATTTAATATCTAATTTCCTCTCCATTCAAGCCAAACAGAGATGTTATCAGTTTGACCCCTGAAGCCTCCCTACCTCGACATGGTATGTCAACTCGACCACTGGTCCCAGAGATGTGCTTCAGTGTAGGAGCAGTCAACACAGAACCACCACCCACAAATTACCACATCGGGGAAGATGGAACCAGTCTTTTGATCCGGTGTAAATGTTGCGCCATGCAAGTTCATGCCAGTAAGTACTAAGCTCATTAATAAAAAATATACTAGTCAAATATAAGTATGTTAGAATACCATGAAAGGAGCTTCTTTCACCCTAACAAGCTAATGTGATTTAGGATTTAAATAAAATATTGTTTACATTTTTAGATCCTTAATTTTTGTGCCCTAATGAATCATATAAACATTAAAACTAAATGTGCTAATTAAAAATTAATGCTCATTGTGCATAGTAAAAAAAAAAAAATAAATAAAAATCTCCTTCTAGTATGGAAAAAATAGGTTTCAAATGAATAATGCGAGTTTCTTGAAATGCCTGATGGACTGTGTTTGTACCAACCCGAACTAACAAACTCATAAATCACATCACTAACACATACACACAAAGTCCACAACACACACATTAACCCTCCTGGGTTCTTATTATCCCTAAACCTGGAACACACCTTCAAGGCCAGTTCGTTATTCATCCTGGGAAGAGCTGCTGAAACAGCGCTGCTATTGATAGGAAGACATGAAGCAGAAAGAGCTCCTGTCAAAAATGCCAGTTGTGCATTCCCACACCTTTTGTTCCTCAGTGTTCTGGGCTGAACATTCAACTAAAAATCATTTAAACATGCCCTGGTGTTGTATAAATCTGCTGGTCTGTGGGCTGGCAACCTCAAATTGGAGATTGGAGCGAGAAAATTGGGCTATTTATTAACAAGAAAAACAACTACTTAGCAAGGAGGTTTGGTGTTTGAATGTGTAATAGCAGAGAATAGAAGGAAAGGTGGCCCTTTAGGCCGTTCTGTGTTGTACACATCCACTGATACAAAATTCAAAATATGTCATAGGGGAACTGGTTAAAATAATCATCATCTCCTCTCTTACAGGTTGTTACGGTTTGAAGCCAGAGTCTGTCAGGGATTCCTGGACCTGCACCAGGTGTACAGCAGAGGCCTGGGTAGTGGTGAGTGGACGCTTAGCTGATGTTCACACACAGATGGAGAATAATGGCTAATTTTCTTCACTAATGTGTTAAGTCATCATGCATGTTCAAGAAATAAATTTCCAGAGAAGTGTGAGGTGTTCTAAAAGAATTTGGGTTTTTCAGCTCAAACCTTTGATTTTAAAGAATATATCTTTTGTTCCAGGAATGCTGCCTCTGCAACCTGCGTGGAGGAGCTTTGAAGATGACAACAGACAACAGGTGAGTGCTTGAAGACCTTTTGTAAGTTTATATATTTGAAATGTTAAACTAATCAGGAGGATGGATTTATAACAAAAGAATCCGACATTTTGTTCTTAGAAGATCCAGGTTTTTTTGTTTTGTTTTAAAATTTCTTTCCTGTCTGACTTGATCTTCAGATGGGCCCACGTCATCTGTGCCATCGGTGTCCCAGAAGCTCGCTTTGTCAACGCTATCGACAGGGAGCCGGTGGATGTCAGCGCTGTCCCAGAAAACCGCAAGAGTTTGGTAAGTGCAGATGGAGACAAATACAAGGTCTGCATAAGTCTCATATCATAGTTTATTATTAAACAGGCAGAGTTCAGCTTTCTTTATACTCCTAGCCGTCTCTGGGGAAAGTAAAAACTTTTCTGTATTGATGCTCGCCATGATGGTTTTCCTGTATGCTTATAAAGTCTCCAGGGCCTCCTGCGCTCCTCCAGTCTTTTCCTACTCTGAAGCGGATTGCTTTCTTTCCTGTTCATTGCCTTTGTGTCTGTCACTTTCTCAGTTACCCTGCTTCCTTTCCTGGGGGATTGTAAAATTTCAGGTTTTTTTTTTTTTTTTTTTTTTTTTTTTTGAGAAGTGGGGTAAAACAGACATGCGGAGGGGAATGGCTGAATAATCAGCTGTCATTTCTCACTGCGCCAAATGAACTGCATCGATCCCGAGGGTTGAAGGCAATTTCCCCATTGCTGCCGCATCTTTAAACACAACTTATTTCGTTCTTTCCTTTCGCTGCTTTTGTTTTATTACAGTCCCTCTTTTGCAGTCTCTGCTCTGTGGCGAGTGATCGGAGCGCTTGCTGCTACATTATCACAAACGCACAAATAATGTCACCTCTCAGCCTCAGTGTCTTCTCTCTGAATAATCTATCAAAGACAAGCTGGGTGACATTTGCATCGGTGCGCTGTCAGAGAAGGTTTCTTCCTTCTCTACTTAAAAAGCTTTGAGAAGAAGCTGTGCGCTCTAATGATTCGGAAGACTGGTCTGATCAAATGTGAGCACGCACCCATGGAACCAGTTTATATCGCGCTGTGTTCTCCAGTCACTGTGTCACCCTTCTACCCTTAAACATTTGCCTCTCAGGAAACTTGTTATTGTTATGTTGGATTTTATAGGCCATTGTTGGATTGTAAAAATCCTAAAAAGATGTGATTTTTGGCTGAAATTTGATGACATTTTTCACATTCTACAGTAGTGTTTTTATAGTTAAGAAGTTGTAAATCATAATCAACAAATCATAATTTTGCTTCAGCTGCAAAATTCAGAACTATGAAAAAAATTAACAACTTGTCTTTATATTAATTATTCACTTAATTAGTTCAAACTAAAATGACTTTCAATTCAGCAGTGGCATGCTGGTAAAAACTAGGTAGATCAACATGCAAGTTTAGATCATGCAAGAATTGGCATAAGCTGTTTATATCATATTTATGTTCACTTTTACTTTTACAATACTAATAAAGTTTGCAGAGATTATGTAGAGATTTTGAAGATGAAAATGGAAAATCTATATTAGTAAAGGCAAAACTGATGTAAATATTGATTTGTTATTCATTCTGACAAAGACAAATGTCAGAAAGTCCTTCAAGCTGACACGGTAATATATTTTCATTGTAAAAAGAGCCATTCCAAATGGTTAGGATGAAAACTGTAATAAAGTTCTGCGCCTTAACCAGCATTGAAGCGTGACATAAAGTCTTGACGCTGGAACCCTTTGTGATTGCTGAAGGTCTTGGGTAAATAAACGAATGCCTTTGCCAAATAATAATTAATCATTTGGATTTCACTGGAGCGAAGGGTCTTTTTTGCAGTAACTGTGGCCTAACTTTCCCAACAAAACTATGATGGGGGGGGAATTATATATGTTTATAGTTTATATACACCAATTACATCACATCTTGACAAAGTTGTTAGTAGTGTTGCTATNTGTTTCCAAGCAGGAAAATAGTGAAATGAAAGTCCGTTTTCCATCTTTTTACCTTTTCGGTCGTGTGATCGGACATTACACCCAATAACGCAGCAAGTTCGTCCCATAGCTAAAATATCTGTGAGACAGTCGTTTTAGTCGGTGGCATAAAAGATGGCGCTGACACCCCTCCGACTAGAGCAGTGACGTCACGTTCCGAAACTCTATTAAAGACACAAGTTCAAATCCTTTAGGACTTTAGTTGAAATACCGTCAACTGGGACTCTAACCCTTTAGGACTTTAGTTGAAACATCGTCAACTGGGACTCTAATTCTTCTTCAGCCATAGGCAACTCTAAACAGGTGGATTTTAAGTTGAGATTTAAAGGCACTCAGTGTTTCAGCTGTTTTACAGTTTTCTGGAAGTTTGTTCCAGATTTGTGGTGCATAGAAACTGAATGCTGCTTCTCCTCCTTTGGTTCTGGTTCTGGGGATGCAGAGCAGACCAGAACCAGAAGACCTGAGGGGTCTAGACGGTTGGTACAACAACAACAGATCTTTAATGTATTGTGTATAATGTAGGTGATGGTGTTTGGACCCAGTGGCTCCTGTGAGTCCTCCTCTGTTGACCTGGGACCTTTGGAGGTATATTTTAAACCTGTTATTACAGATCTTGGTTTTAAGGTGGACAGTGATTTTAAATTGGACAGCCAAATCAGAGCCGTGGTTAAGTCCAGCTTTTATCATTTAAGGCGATTGGCGTCAGTGAAATCTTTTCTTTCCAGGCAGCATTTTGAAACAGTGATCCAGGCTTTTATTTCAACTCGATTGGATTACTGTAACTCACTTTATCTGGGAGTCAGTCAGTCGCTGCTCTCACGTCTACAGCTGGTTCAGAATGCTGCTGCACGACTTTTGACAGAAACTCGAAAGAGAGAGCATGTGACCCCTGTCCTGGCCTCACTTCACTGGCTGCCTATATATTTTTAGGATTCATTTTAAAATTCTTATGTTTGTTTTTAAATCACTACATAATCTTGCCCCGGCTTACCTCTCTGAGCTTCTTCACCCCCACATACCCTATCGGTCTCTCAGGTCAGCAGATCAGCTGCTCTTGGAGGTACTGAGATCAAGAAGGAAGCTCAGAGGGGACAGGGCTTTCTCTGTCATGGGCCCCAAGTTATGGAACGACTTGCCTTTGCAGGTTAGAGAGGCCCCTTCACTGTCCACTTTTAAAGCTTGTCTTAAACCCCGTCTATTTTACTTGGCTTTCAACTCCAGCAGGATCTAGTTTTAAATTGTATGTTTGTTTGTTTTTAAAAACTGTAAGAGTTTTTATTTTTTTAATTGTTATGTTGTGTTTTAATGCACAGCACTTTGTATCAGCTGTGGTTGTTTTAAAGTGCTTTATAAATAAAGTTGCTATGGAATTGTGGTGCTAATCCATTTAGTGATTTCTGTACACCCTTATCCCACAAGGGTGTACAGAAAATGGATGGATGGACTTTATGTTTAGAGCTTTTTGCTTCCTTCAAAAATATTTTTTTTTGCTTTAGATATCAGTTTGATTTTAACCTTACTGTGTTTTCCTCTCAATCATTAAATTCCAACTATCTTCTTAAATCCTGCTAGCTTGTCAATATAACAAGTTAGGGTCTAGTAAATCTAGCTTCCTACTTATATTGATTTGAGATTATCCAGGTGTGATTGAAAATCTTTCATTAACACTGTATATTGTTTAAAACATTGTTGTGTAATTTAACTGTGTCAGTTCCAGGGATTATTCAGGAATATGATTTCTGTATTTCAATGGTCTCCCAGCACTGCAAGCATTCACAAAATTACAAGAGGAAATGAACAAAGAAAATTTCATCTTAATTATCCAAACATTCTGATGTTATTACTGTTTTTGATCAAACAGTTAGTTTGGTTGGCTTGCTTTGTCACTCTTCAGGGTCCAGCATAAGAGGAAGAGGGACTACGATGTCAGAGCTTTAGGATGGCCACGGAAAGCTCCACTATTCCCAATCCTGTTGTCTGCCAAATCGACAAGCAGTTCCTGATCTGCAGCATATGTCTGGACCGCTACCAGAATCCCAAAGTACTGCCCTGCCTGCACACCTTCTGTGAGAGGTGAGAGGACAGGCTGAGGTGCTAACCAGCATGCAGGACAACACCCAGTATTCTGTGTAGCTACTTTTTCTTTGCTGTTTGTCTTTGGTGAAGGAAAGAATGGCTTTAAATATAGAAAGGGTGTGTTCTCATGTTCTCATGAGAGAAGATATGTTGCTGTTGTGTTTGGTGTGTTGGTCATTATTGTTAATAAGCTTCTGTTTATGTAACAATAGACCAGTGGTGCCCAAAGTGGGGCCTGGAGGGCCGGCATCCTGCATGTTTTACTTCTCTCCCTGGTTTAATGCACCTGGATGAAATGATGGCTCATTAAAAGGACTAAGAAGAACATTTACATGCTGAGGAGAACTAGAACATGCAGGATGTCAGCCCTCGAGGACCTACTTTGGGCACCACTGCAATAGACAGATTGCTAATGGTACATATCTGTTCTCTTTGCTCTAAATTATTCTGGAAAATCAGGTTTCATTTAACAATATACTAGTATATTATGGGGTAGTCTTTTCTGCCGCTTTTCTTATTTATTTAATTTCCCTCCGGAATTGCAACATGCATGGCCACTGATGACAGAGGATAAACAGTTTTTCTGTAACAGTGAGTTGTTTCTCCACTATTAGCACACTTAGCAGCAAGTACATTAGGATCATTGATGGCACTAAAACCCTTCTCCTGACTTTGATCGATGAGTTATTTTTAACCTGGAGCGCTGTATTTCTTCAGATGGTTATAGTAGCACTGAGAGGAGGTGGAGGATATTGACCTTTTCATGGATTATCTGTCTCATATTATGCTGTCACAACTTGGTGATAGTTTTAACAAAGTCAACTGAAATGCAGTTGACTGAGTGACATGTTGTTTACTCCAACTCCAGGTGCTTGCAGAATTACATCCCAGCCCACAGCCTCACCCTGTCGTGCCCTGTGTGCCGTCAGACATCAATACTCCCAGAGAGGGGGGTGGCCGCGCTGCAGAACAACTTCTTCATCACCAACCTGATGGACGTGCTGCAGCACAGGCCAGATACCTGCAGGCAGGAGGCCACCACCCTCAGCAACATCACCACCGTGGCAACGGGTCGACTGCTCTCCTGCCCCAACCATGGAGGAAGTGTAAGAGATGCTTCCAATGCAACCAGTCTTTTTAATCACTGTTGTATCTCAATTTTTCTGCTGCATTTCACCATTAGAATCTGTTTCTTATATTTTTAATCCCCAATAAACCATTTAACATCTGGGGTAATTTTAGTTTTTTTTGGAAGGAGATAAAATAGTGGCCAATTCTGAATATAGCCTGTATAATTATCAGACTTTATCAGTGTAAAGATGGAAATTGCAATTATCTAGTGATTACATTAGATATAAATGGTGAGCAGAAGTGTTCCAAGGACATAACCCTGTATCTGTATAATAGTATTTAGTTAATAGTTCAGCAGATCGAGTCTGAAAACTTCATACAAGAAGGATTTTATTCAAAATCAAGACTTATATGGACTCAAAATTGAGCTGCAGCTTGTGGTACACTGATAAATCGACCCCGATTTTCTTCATTTTGGGAGATTGGTGATCTGCCGATACTTGCAGAGTATCTGCCGTCAGATCGGTGTATTTTATCCATCGATCATATCTACCTCAACAAAGGTCTGAAAATCAGTCACTGTCCTCTTCTGCTCTTCTGTGAGCAAGATTTAACTGACAGATTGTCCCACCAGGTCATGTCTGCACATTTGCAGTTAACAATCATCACCCCATTGTTGCCAACTCAGCAACTTTGTTGCTATATTTAGTGACATTTCAAAAAAAAAAAAAAAAAAAAATCAGAATCGGCAGGTCAGGCTTTTTAAAAATCAACAATTGGCCAGAAAACTGCTGTCGGTGCACCATTAGCTGTAGCCATTGTTGCTAAATGTGGCTGAGTGAATTGATCTAAACCTTTTATTTGTGTTCTAGGTGATGGAGTTTTACTGTCCTCCATGTGAGACAGCCATGTGTCAAGAGTGCACAAGCGGCGAACATAGAGAGCACCCAACTGTGCCTCTTAAAGATGTGGTGGAGCAGCACAAGGCCTCACTGCAGGACCAGCTGAATGCTGTGAAGAAGAGGTAAGCTAGGTCTTTAAGCTTATTAGACAACAAAGACATGATGGATTTAGAGAAAGCCCTCCATTCCTTTCTGTTTTCGGTAAATGGCTGCATTATGTGCCCATCTCGGTCTAGACTGCCAGAGATCGACTCGGCTCTGCTGTTGCTGTCAGAAATCCTGCAACAGCTGACCAATCAGAAAAGCTCCATAGAAGATGACATCCACACAACCTTTGATGAGCTGCAGAAGACTCTCAATGTTCGCAAGAGTGTTTTACTGATGGAGCTGGAGGTCAACTATGCACTCAAACAGAAGGTGAGGTTGGAGGTTTAAATATTCATAAGGGACCTGATAATCTTGCTTTTTTCTAGGTTCCTTGACTTTGCATCAGTCATATGTCAAACTCTGTAATTTATTATTTGAATTCACTGGACAATTAAACCTCCATGCTTAACAACTTAACAAAAGAGCAATTAGACATTTTCATTTTGTTTAATGATATTCAGTGTCACATATTTAGTATTGCAGGGGTCAGAAACCATTTGCATCCAAATGATTTTGTCTTTGCTCCTACAAATATATTTGGCGACACAAAACTTCTTTACTGTTGAGAAAATAATACATATGTGAATAAGTTTTAGAAATAAACAGAGTTCATTTCAAAATGATTGATGCCCTTATAAGATTTAGGTTTACATGTTTGTTTTTTTATTTAGTTAATTTTTTTCTTTTTATTTTACTATAATGCTTCTTCTGACTGGGCATATGTTATTATTAAAGTATAACTATTATTATTATTAATCTTGCAAAAGAGATTTCTAGTCACAATTTTCCCGGTAAAATAAAGGTTAAATAAAATGAATGTTTTAGAGGAGACATTCCTTGGATGCAGATACTTGGAGCTCATCGTGATCAGTGTTGAATCATAATATCAGTGGAAAAGAGCAAAAAAGAATTTGTTTTTTATAAAGCCAATTAAGATTTTTCTCTTTTTATTGACATATTTAATAAAACGTCAATAAAATCGTTTCTGACACACAACAGATGACACATGATCTGTGTGTGTCATATATTACTTTTTATTGACATTTTTAATAAAATGTCAATAAAATCAATGTTTTTTTCTTAATTATTTTTCCTGCTATAAGATTCATTATCTTCTGAGAAATGCCACTTTATTCCTATCAAAAACACACTTATTTTAACAGGTTCATTAATAGCTATAAGGACTTACTTCCAATGTTTTGATTTTGTTCTGATTATCATGATTTTACAGCTTTGTTTAATGTTATCATTTAATGGGATATTATCAGTGCTCCTAGTTTAGATTTTTGCTGAGCAGCACTTCAGTGCTGTTACCTAATGAATTATTAAAATGATTTCTAGTGATTGGACACTTTTATGATGTTTACATATCTAATCAAATAAGTGACTGCCTGCTTTCCTCCCTGGAGGCCCTGACAAACTGAAATCTGTTTGTTAGGACTTCACTTGGCCTCACATCCAGTCACCTGGTCGGAGATCAGGCCGAGCTGACCTGCTCTCTTGGAGTTCGTCAGTCAATGATTTACAATGTATAATTTACTGGGATCAAGTGTGTGAAGTCAACACACATGATCCCTGGGGTAAAACACGTGACTCTCTGAGATGCTGGCACTATGGCTAGATGGAGCCAGTGAGCTGTGCTTTGTTTTGTTTTTTAATTTTTTTCTTCTGGGTCGATCTGGGTGCAGTGAGAGCGTACCATACTTCTCCGCTGTGCTCTTCACACTGGAGACACTTTACCCTCAATCCCTGCTCTGCTCTATGCATGGAGGGTTTTTCATTTTCTCTGGTAGACAGATGAGGGATTTTGGATGAAACTTTTCAGATCAAAAAACATTCATGGCATCTTGCTTTGGAAAAGAAGATGACTTTGATGATCAGATCTCGGTGAGTTTACTGATATTCCAGTTGAAAAGAGGCAGTTCACCAGCAGCTCACCAAGCTTTGTGAGTTCTCTTTCATAATAGTTTTCAAGTTACACCTTATAGCAAGCCATATTTAGTTGATATATAGTCAGTATTTTACTGCTTGTTTAGTTAATATTTAAGGGATCTGTTGTGTGCAGCAGCATTAAATGCAAGGTTGCTGCATGATTCAGTAATGTTTGTTTGTCAAATAAGCAGAGTCAACACACCAGATCTTTCCTTTTTAACTGACATATGTAGTTCTGCTCTTGTAAACACCTCAGGGTGACAAAGAAAACTGAAACAGAAGGAATAACTGACACTACAAAACTGGAAAAACTGGAAATCGTTTCAAATCAACATTTTCATGAAAGGCAACCCAACATATTGTCTCTTATTTTTCAGTTTGTTGAAGGAGATTTGTGTTCCAGAAAACTGAAATTGCTCCAAAAGTAATTCAAAGCAGATGCAGAGTAAAAAAAAAAATCCCTTCCCCATAAACTTTACACATTTTACACATCATAGTCTTAAACGTCATTCAACCACAATTTATTGTAATTTCCTTTCATATGATGGATAAAAACAAAGTAGTAGTACTCGTAACCTGAAGAGTCAGGCGTAAATTTGTAGTGGCCCCTCTACTATGATACTTCAAAGTGAAATCCAGTCCAACCAACTGCCTTTAGAAATCCAGCTGGTCCAGGAAATCCATAGAGGCATCATGAATATCAAGGAACTCAGGTCAGGAAGGAAGTTGAGAAGTGCAAAGCAGAGTTATGTTATAAACCTTTTCCAGATATTAAGGAGAGCACAGATTAGAGGACCATGCAAAAATCATTTGGTAGCACTGGAGGAGCAAAGAGATACACAGCTCAGGTGGAGAAACTGCTGAAAGGGTGTCTATTAGTTGCAAAAAAACAAACAAAAAAAACAGCTCATAATGTGGGAGTGGCAGCTGGAAAGATACACTGCGTGCAGAATTATTACGCAAATTGTAGTTTTGAGGATTAATTTTATTCTGGAACAACTATAGTATTCTTGGTCAAAAAGCCTCTCAAACCTGAACATTTAAATAATAAAAGTGAGATTTTGGCTTTCTTATGACAATATATATGTGTGCACGACTAATGAGCAACTGAATTAAAACGGAAAATTTTCCCATCTCAATTGTTTATTGTCATCTATTAAAGTGAGAATAATAATCATACAACTCTCTGTATCTCTGCTCACTTACGAAACAGCGACCAGAGAGTCTGAGCAGAGGCAAAGGGTGAGCGCAAGGAAAAGTTTTGAGTGCAATCATTGCAAGTTTTGAGAAGAAAGACATGAAGTCCTGCTTCCAGACTGAACATGTGTGCTCTTGGATTATGCCAGAAAAATTCTCCCATAATGGTAAAGAAGAGTATTGACACCATGAACTGTCATCATGTCTGCATTCAGATATCATTTGGATTTGTCTGAAACCCCCCCCCCCAAAAAACCACAACTGCTTTCATTTGTTTCCCATTTAGGTTTCAACCTAATGTTGGCTTCCGTTTGTTTTCATTTTTAAAACTACAGGGGTCATTTAATGCAGTGTCCCTCTGCTGCTCCCTGGTGTCTCCGTATGTAGGTTCTTCAGGCCCAGCTGGACACTCTGCTGCAGGGCCAGGAGGGCATCAACAGCAGCTGTAACTTCACGGAGCAGGCTTTGAGTCATGGCACCGAGGCAGAGGTGCTGCTGGTCAAGAAGCAGATGGGCGAGCGCCTCGTGGAGCTGGCCAATCAGGAACTTCCTTTGCAGCCTGGGGAAAACAGCCAGCTGGACTTCCTCATGGAGACTGATGGATTAAAGAAATCCATCCACAATTTGGGTACCGTGGTAACTACAAATGCTGTCGCATCAGAAACCGTGGTGACAGGTGAAGGGCTGCGGCACTGCGTGGTGGGCGTGCCCACGGCTGTCACCATAACTACCAAGGACAAAGATGGAGAGCTGTGTAAGATGGGTAACGCAGTCATCGCTGCTGACATCTCTTCCCCTGACGGGAGCAAAGTTGACGGGGAGATACTGGACAACCAGAACGGCACGTATGAGTACCTATTCACTGCTCCCAAAGAAGGCTTTCTGACCCTATCCCTGCGCCTGTACAACCAGCACATCAGAGGAAGTCCCTTCAAAATAAAGGCCACCATCCACTCATCCCCAAATACAGATGGCACCAAAAAGACGCTGAAGTCTCCGGGCAGTGGACACGTCAAGCAGAAAGCCATCAAGAGGCCGGCGAGCATGTACAGCACAGGGAGGAGGAAAGAAAATCCCATTGAAGATGACCTCATCTTTCGGATAGGTGAGGAGGGGTGTAAGGGGGAAGGGGAGGGTGCTTCCTAAGTTCCAGGTGCAAAGTGTCTCACCACTGCTGCAAGAAGACTTTGGGATGTAGTCAGCACAGCAGTACATAGCTAAAATAATTTAATTTTAAGATGCACAAATGAAAATATGGTACTGTGCAAAAGTCTTGACTCATCCAAGTGTAACACAGATGAGAAGGGTATTTTATATATTAGATGAATGGGCCAATAGGTTCGACTATCGGAGCATGGTGGGGTGTTTAAATGACACACAAAGGCAGTTAAATGAATATAAAGAAAAACAACTGGCTTTAGTGACAAACCATGAAATTAAACAATTATACAAGACACACAATTATGAAAATAAAATTACACACAATAAAATACAAAAAATAATAAGTACTTGGCCAAGTGCGAGTTCTCAGTTTTGAATCTTTTGGGTGCACCCTGGTAATCTGAATTCTAAATCATAATAGGCAACAGATCAATCAATTCCAGTTCCAATTAGGTTCAACTCAACACCATTCACATGAGGAGAATTTCCTACACAGCAGTTTGTTACAAAGTACCAAATAAAAACCAGTCCAAAAGGTGAGATCAGAAATTCCAGGATTAAACAATAAAAAGAAAAATGTCAGTCAGTGGTCTCACTCATAACCAACTGTGTGTGAAGATGTGAGTGGTACCGGCCTACCACACCGTGGGGTGCAGCAGGACTCCAAATGGGAAAGAAGGAATCCAGGAATCCAGTTCTTTCTAAGTCCAGGTGGGAAGGCTCGCCATCAAAGTCACAGGAGGAATCCAACCTCAGGAACAATCCAGCATAAACAAAAAAACCTGACCTGTCAACAGACAGGACCAGCAGAATCATAGGATTTTATTAAGCTGTTCTAGCTTTAATCCTTAAATCATGTTTCTGTATATTTGACATCAATTACTGTAAATTACAAAAGCATTTCTTCAAACGATATTAAACATTACATTTTATCCAAAATCAGTAAAAGTTTACATTTTAATAATCAAATAGTTCAGATAAACAATATTATTCAACAAAAATGTGATAAACAGAACAAAAACCCAAATGAAAGGCACAGAATATGCTCACCGATCTCAATGCGACACGTTAGGGACAACAATACGGTGGCTCTCAGTCCGGACCCGTGAGGCACTAGATAGTGTAATAAGGCATATTTTCCATGCTTTAGCCTTGATAATATGAGCTATCATTGTGAACAAAGTAAGAATATAACGTAAATTAGGTTTTACCTTCAACTGAACGGAGAACAAGATGAACTTAAAACGTTAGCCTAGTAGCCGTTAGAGCTAAACCAGTAGCCGTTGGCCGTTAGAGCTAACGAGTCAGCTCTAACGGTGTTCAGCAGAAAAAGTGAACTTGTCTTTCCTTTTCTTTTTTTTCACTTCACGCGTCCAGCTTAGAAGTCGGATGATCTGGGAAAGCGTTTGTTTAGAGTTGTATAACTGTTTTAAAACAGAGACTCTCACGCTGCCCAGCTTAATCGTTTCCGGATCTCTCTCGCTTACACACTCAATGCTGCGGAAGGGCGGGTCCTGCAGCGGCAGTCCGAATTCTGATTGGTTTAAACTCATCGGAAACTAAACTTCCTATTGGCTAGGTAGACCACCTAGCTTCCCTAACCTCCGTTTCTTAATGAGGCATCCCCATTTTATGTGGGTTACACAAGTTCTCTGTATACTTTGCTTAGTGGCAGTATTATATAAAATAAACTTTTGAGCATTTCACCATGTTAGTGCTATTCCCTCATCAAAAACATACCTGAAGAGTTGCTTTGATTGTTTCATGCATTTTTGAGAAATATTTTAATCTCCATGGTAACCATTCAGCTGTGCAAAATACCTGCTTGGATCTAACACCGCCTTTGAGGATGAAGCTCCTGCTCAGAGCTGCAGTCTCCAAGCAGAGCCTCTCCCTCCCTGAGCATCCCTCCTACATGACTCCCACACTCACCTATTTCAGACTAGCTAGTGGAAATGAACAAACACCTGACGGAACTCATAAGAGTTGCTTCTCAGAGCAACGCTAAAACTGTTGCTGAAGGGTTAATAGAGGAGCGATGTTATGATTTCCTGAAGACGGAGTTTCAGAAAGGCTATGTATACATGGATACATACATGCCCGCCCGCCCCCATATATATGGGTGATTCTATTATTGCAGCACTTATATAGCAGAGGGGGGTGCATAGAGGGAAGATGAGGAGTGGCACACAAGACTGTGATTGGCAGCTGAAAGAACCGCCTCCTGGCTCTGATTTGTTGCTTCTAGAGAAGGCAGATTGGGTGTTTTTTTGTTTGTTTTTGCTTTTCTTGTCTCATGGCATCCTGTCACAATAAAAATATAAATAGTCACAGTGTCAACAAATATGTAAAAACAAAAATGTTTTCATAACAGTTACATACTGCACCTTTAAGGAAAAAAAGAGATTATATAAAAATGTTCAGAAACAAACCCAGTCTTAACCTTTTCTGTTTCAAGACATTGTAAATAGAATATTGTTGCGAGTCTGATATATTATGGCAGGACTATTTTTTTCTTTTAGGCACTAAAGGAAGAAATAAAGGGGAGTTCACAAATCTGCAGGGAGTGGCTGCCTCCTCTCAGGGAAAAGTCCTAATAGCAGACAGCAACAACCAATGTGTTCAGGTAAAAAAAAAATATAAAAATGTTTTCTGAAGATGTTTATAGATTTTTAAAGCTTGAATGTAGATTAAATATATTGTTACGCAGTAGTATATCTTGTTTGACTCAGATTTTTTTTGGCTGTGTTTTACTCTCTGCAGATATTTTCTAATGACGGCCAATTCAGAAGTCGTTTTGGCATCCGTGGCAGGACCCCAGGTCAGATGCAGCGGCCGACGGGCGTGGCTGTCCACCCCAGTGGTGACATCATCATTGCAGACTATGACAACAAATGGGTCAGCATCTTTTCAAATGAAGGCAAGTTTAAGGTAAGTTTTTTCTATTTTGTCTTTGTTCAGGTATTAGATAAAACACTGAAGCAGTCTCAGTTTTTGCATAGCAGAAGCCTAAAGTGTCTCCTTTCTGTAGAACAAAGTGGGCTCAGGGAAGCTGATGGGACCCAAAGGCGTTGCGGTGGACAGGAACGGACACGTCATTGTGGTCGACAATAAGGCCTGCTGCGTTTTCATCTTCCAGGCCAATGGCAAGCTGGTCACCAAGTTTGGTAACCGTGGCAACGGTGACAGGCAGTTTGCAGGTATTCCCAAAGATAGAACTTTGAGATGCATGTGGAAAGCTGCATGTGTGCCAAAACATTCAGAAGTCATCCACTTGCTGTTTTTCTCTCACACACACAACACTAAAATTGCACATATACACTAAAATATCACACACACACAAAGCATACAGACATACTATTCTGAATGATAGGTCGAAAATGTATGTGTGTGTGTGTGTGTGCGTGCGTGTGTGTGAACTAACACTAAGCTGAATGAATGGGGATGAGATTTGTATTTGTCTGTGTGAGAGTTGTCACGGGGGGCAGGGCAAAATTTGGAAATCAGATCACGCTGTGTTGATACCACAGCGAAGTGAGCTTCAAGTTGGATATTGGCGTTCCACAGTGTAAGCGGTGTTTAGCTCAAGGTTGGAGTAAGCAGCCTTAGAACCAGAGTAAGCGGCGTTAGAGCCCTATGTGAACCCCCGAGCGCTTGAGGAGGGAGAGGTAGAGAACGGCTGGCCGAAATTAGCGTTCATAAATTGGATCGACCTTGAGCTAAAGCAGTGTTTCTCAACCTTTTTTGGGCCATCGCCCCCCTAGCCTTTATCCAGGTCCCTCATTGACCCCCACTAAAGAATTTGTAGGCTACTTTGCTCTGACTATTATTTTATTATTAATATTACTATCACTTTTGTAGATGTTAGTAATATTAATAATAAATATTATTTATTATAAAAAAAAATCAAATCACTTTTGTAGATGTTTTGATTTTTTATGCTTGTTTCTGTATTTATCATCAAAAATAATTTCCCAAAGAACAAAAAAGCCATGGGAATAGAAATTATTTTTCACAGGTGTCTACAAAAAAAATGCAATGAGCATTCAAGTTAAAATTGGTAGACCTAACAGCAGCCAATCAGAGTGGCTGATTTGTGCCATTTTCTAGTTGCTAAATCTTGCACAAAATGACCAGATAAAACAAAAAACAACATGCCAGTTTAAAGTTTGATCTATTTGCAAAACGACTGAGCTCTGGAACATTAAAACATGGATGGAACTCCAACTACGTCAATCATAGCTCTTCTTCTCTTCAGTGTTTCTGTCGATTTCTGGTGGTGCAGCTCTGTGCTGCCTTCAGGAGAATGGGACATCAGAGTATCATCCATAAAATTTCACCCACATGGCATTTATTGTGCAAACCAGAGCTTTCAGTGGAAAAACAAAAGTTCCAGATCCTTTTAATGCTGTACAAATATGAGACAGAAACATGGATTATATCTTTATATAGACATGTCTATTGATTTATAGATTAATAGTTTTACTGGACAGAAAGGTCAAAGAACAAATCTGGTTCTTAATCAAATCCTAATGAGTCAAATTGAAAGTGTCATGGAGTCACTGAACAGCCTCATGACATTAACACTGACATAAAAAATAATATTGAAGAAATAAATATATCAAATCTAATTAAAAACATAAATAAGTGACATAATATACTTTTAGATTTGAGAGCTTCAATATGATCTCTATTTCCTGTGGATTCACTAAGTTGTTCTAATTCCACGATATTCATCTCCAGATCTCTGATAGATCCGGTAATGTCACGGGTGACATTCAGGGTGTGCTGTTGACTCAGCAGTTTTATCTGTACTTTTCCGTAGTCCCACCACTGTTTAAGACAGGTAAAATCAGAATTTCTCTGTCTAAAACCAGTCCAAAAATAACTTAAAACCTCCTTAAAACCCTGATCATAAGTTAGGGCTGAGTTAAAATGCCAGTAAGCGCTTCTAGGTAAAATGTTTCTGATAAAAACACTACCTAAAAGCAACGAGTGATCTGTAAAAGCCACCGGTAAAATCTGGCATGTTTTGAACACATTAAAGTTGTGTTTAAAACAATAAAGAGATTCTATTTCCTTTAATGTGGGACCATGTATACTGCCTGGAGCCTGCATGCATCCTCCTCCATACATCCACCAGGCCTTGAGATGAGACCAGCTGCCGCAGAGCATATTGGGCCGCTGGATGCGGCTCTGCATGGTTACGGTCTAAAAACTCATTTTCAGTGCAATTAAAATCCCCACCTATAAAAACATAATCCTCAGACCCATAATCACCCAACCATTCCCCGATTTTTTCATAAAAATGCTTTTTCTCTGCATTGGTGATAGGAGCATAAATATTAATAAAAACTATATTAAAAATAATCAAACTTTGTCTTGACTAAAGGACGCCTCCCCTGAATAACATGTTCGATTTCTGTTGAGTTTGGGGTGAACGCTCTGGAAAAAAGGAAGCCCACCCCTGCACTCTGGGAGGTGCCATGACTTAAAATGACCTCCCCCCTCCACTCTCTGACCCAGTCTGTCTCTATTAAATGATCACTGTGAGTTTCTTGCAGGTAAATTACATCAATTTTCTTTAGGTTCAGCATTTGATAAATCAAAGCACGTTTTTCAGCCTCCCTTGCCCCGTTAAGATTCAATGATGCTATTTTAAAAGAATCCATATTGGGTAAGAAGCTAAAAACTAAATACAAAAAGACAATAAATAATTTTAAAAACCTACTGTGCATCATTTTACTCAGAGTTGTTTTCTAACTTTAGTCATTATTTTCTTTAGTCTAAACACTTCTGTTTCTGTAAATCCTGAAACCTCCTTGTTCCTGATGTAATATCGTGCTGANCTATCAGATCCTGGTAGGCCAGTTGGCAAAGTAGTTGGTATGCTTCCCATGAGGAAATATTTCTCGAGACATGACTTGCACAAAACTTAAGACACAAAAATCACAGTCAACATAACGCACACTTTAAATGTATTTTTATATAGGTATTGCATAGCCTTGTTTGCAGCCAAAGTCAGCAGTTTACTTTTAAAGAAATGTATAGCGAACTGTCTTATTTGCTGACTTAATATGAACATTCAGCAGCGAGCTGCAACACAATTAATGTTGCTGCTGAGTTTTGCTGTTTGCTCTTATATTACCATCTTCATGATGTTTCATCAGTGGAAAACTGCTAGCTGGTAGCAATCATAGGAGGCAAACTGGCCTGCACAGGAGCAAAAATGAAATATTGACATGATGATAAAAGAAATGTATTCTTTCATTGATTGGTTGTGCTCTCCAGCTGCTTGGTCATTTTAGTTTTAATTTATTTTTAAAGGAGGGGCTGTATAGAACGGGGACAGAAAAGGGAATTTAAAAGACAGAATGTTTCTGATTGTAGATGTTTTCAACTGACCCAAGTGAATGTTGGTGTTTAATTAACATGTCTAAACAGATGATGTGATGGTTCTTCTGTTTGAGCAAAGTTTGTTTTATGAGTTGAAGTGATGTTATTTAGGTCACCAGAGATATTAATTCAAAAGGCCTTCAGTCCTTCGCTCATAATTTAACTTGCTTGTAATTGTAGTGCTGCAGATTACTCTGGTCCAAGAGGGGTTTTTTTATGCAGTGCACACAGAAGTGGAAATTTGGCAAGAGAGCTTCAAGTGTCTGCCTCATCTCCTGGTCATCCTGCTGCTTTGTAGTCTCTTGCCAGAATGTCCAGTCATTTCTTCTAATCCTAAATACATATTTCATTGTGAGTGATAGAAGGAATCATGTTGGATAGGGGGAATAGTGGTTTTTCAGTCACACGAAACTTAAATCCTAACATATTAAATATTTGTCTGGTTTTAAAGTTACAAACAAGAGTTTAGTCTCAAATACAGAATATTCCAATAGCTGCAAATAAAGTATAAATGGAGAGTAGTAAGAGAAAGTGACAGGAAAGAGGAAAATCGGTCAATATGGGTGGTAGAATTTGAGTTTTCAGCATTGAAGAGAGTACATCTCTATGCTTAAAGATGAGCTGACGTTCCAGTGTGTGCTTTTTGTCTTTACAGAAATGTGTGTTCTGCCACACAACCAACCCCAGTCTAAACCGTGGCGCCTGCATCCAGTGCACACATGAGAACTGTGCCACCTCTTTCCATGTCACATGCGCCCAGATTGCCGGAGTGGTGATGAAGCCTGCAGACTGGCCCTACGTGGTGTCAGTCTCCTGCCACAAACATAAAAAGGGCATCCAGATGGTGAATAAAGTGAATAAGGTGAATAAGGTGAGTGTGTTAGCATTTTTCACTTCTTCCTGCTACGTTGGTGTAACTCAGGGTTGTTCAAAGTGTGACCAGGGGGCCATTTAGAACAGAACATGATTAGTAATTATAGAATAACCCAGACATTGCTCTTGCTGAGTCCCAGTCCTGACTCTTGTCTTGTTTTTGTCTGAAGCCTCGGGCAGCCCCTAAACCTGCTCCTCAGGGTCTAGACCTGGGCCTCAAGGTGATTGGGCGTAAATCCGACACTTGGTACTACCACTGCACCATCATTGGCATCGCAACGCAGACGTTCTACGAGGTCAACTTTGAAGAAGGATCATACTGTGACAACGTGCACCCAGAGAATATAGTGGTGAGTGTTTTCACCAACAGGGTTGTTATGCAGTCTGGAATTTGATCTCAATATTTACTGGGTCTGAAATGGGGAAAAAAGGGTGTGGAAAAGCATTCGTATTTGCAGACTTTTATTCCCCATCTCATTTTTTTCTTTGTGTTCTTAGCTGTGGAAGCCACTTGGTATAGGCAATGGAAGGTAGACTGAGTACTCAGGAAAGTTCTCTGTCTGGAATATTTATATGAAGAATTTGGAGGAGCCCTCCTCCATTAATCCAAGCAGCTACTCGTATGATTATAGTCAGTATGGTATTTTCATTTCAAAGCGTACAGATATATCCTAGCAACTGAGCCATGACTGAAGGTATGGAAAATGTATTCCGCGTTATAAATAAGATAACCCTTAATATTTGCTGTTTAAAGATGGCAAAAAACAGTGCTTTAATAAAATTAAATTATTAAAGCTTGCTTCTAGGGAGGTTGAATCATCACATAGCTATACAAGCAATCGAATTTAAAATGCTAAATACTACCCTTGAATTTCAGAAGGTCAAACTTTTTACTAAGCTGTAAGTAGCTGGAAATGAAGACAACCCTTGAGATGTAAAAGTAGAACTATGAATGAAATCATGCAGAATTCTATAATTCAATTCTTTTCTCCTATATTCTTCCTCTAGTTCTCTCATCTTTGTCCTTCCTCTTCCAGAGTCACGACTGTCTGCGTAACGGTGCTCCTGACGCAGGGGAGCTGATTGAGGTTGGT